GCCCACATACTTGCCACATCCTCCTTTCCCCAGTATTCATTTAAAATTTTTCTTTTGCTTTATCTCGTCACACAAGGCCTGTTTTGTACATCATTTCAAATCTTTGTCAGAAAGGGGTGGTAGGTAAATAAAAGCTGAAGTTTCACTCAGGAAGGAGAGGTCAAAAGCGCAAAGTCTAGCTGGCTTTCTGGGGCCTTGGGAAATCCCCTTTAGGTCACGCCCCCTTGGGCCCCCATGTTCCCCGAGAGTAAAAGAGTAGGGGCTTTCCTCTCCTCCCTGCAGCTGGAGAACTTAAGGAGTGAGCATTCTCCCTCTCTTGTCCCCCAGGAGCCAGCTCCCCTGGCAAACCCTCTGGAGTGAGAAGGAAGAAACAGGGTTCTTTGCCTTCCTGCCTGTTTTCCTGCCATACTGTGGGTGGGGACCTTTCTTTATCTGCTACCTAGGAGGTATTGGGAAGGTCAGCTTCAGGAAATTAACAATCAGGATGTCCATCATAACCACTTGAAGCATATGCTAAATTAGGGTGTCCAATCTACCCCAGCCCACTGCTCCTAGCAGACCCAGGTTTTAGAGGCCTTAGGGAGACACAGAAACAAGAAGACACCAGCCCTGATGCAGTGGAGAAGAGTGGCTGAGAGCGTGGCTTGAGAGTCACCCGGACCTGGTGTGAATCCCAACTCTGCCACTTACTGGATCCTGGACAAACCACCTTGTCTCTCTGAGCCTCATTTTCCCCATCTGTGAAATGGGGAGAAGAACAGTACCTGCCTCCTAGCAGTGTGAAGAGTCCATGATGCAATGTCTCTACAGAGTACATCATGTGGTGTACAGACAGGCTCAGTCGAGAGCAGGACTGATATTGTGTTTATAGTGGCTCTCAGAGGGTGGGAGAGAGTGTGTGTGAACCCCAGGGCTCCTTGCTGGCAGTGACATGGCCCTAGGGGATGCCCTGTACCCAGTCACTCCAGTCTACGCAAATGGACTGCTGACTCTGCACGCTTCTCTGTCCACAGGGGCAGAGCTATCACTAGATCTCAATGAATCTCTAAATAACCACAATGCTTTCAGCCACTAGCCAGGCTAAAGAGAGAATGGAAAAGTGACTTTTGCCTAAACCCAGTAATTATGAATCCAACTGAAAAAACTCCTGACACGTGGCCCACACCCAGTCTGATGACGTCCCTCCCCACCAGCTCTCACCACCTCCTCTTGCCATGGCCAGGCGCGTCTCCTCCACTCTGTCCCCTACCCTTCTTTTTCAGCTGGAGTCTCCCCTACTTTGAATGGTCTCCATTCACATCTCTCCTACCCTTGCTCCAGTAAGATAAATGTCCCTTCTATTCTAGGAGTCGCTGGGGCAGTCCCTGGTTGACATCTAGGGTAGTGTTTTTCAAAGTGTGATCAGTGGACTCTGTCTGCATTGAATCACCTGTGAAGCTTGCTAAAATGCAAATTCCTGGGCCCTACCCTTGGGAGACCTGGTGGTGTAGTGGTTAAGAGCTTAGCTGCTAACCAAAAGGTCAGCAGTTCAAATCCACATGCCGCTCCTTGGAAGCCCTACAGGGCAGTTCTACTCTGTCTTATAGGGCCACTATGAGTCGGAATCGACTTAATGCCAAAGGGTTTGGTTTTTTTGAGGGGCTTACCCATGACTTAAACAAACAAACAAAAAAAACCAAATCCATTGCCATCGAATCGATTCCGATTTATAGCAACCCTATAGTACAGAGTAGAACTGCCCCATAGGATTTCCAAGGAGCGTGAGGTGGATTCGAACTGCTGACTTTTGGTTAGCAGCTGTAGCTCTTAACAACTACCATGCCACCCATGATTTAGTAAGTCAGAATTTCCAAAGGAAGGTGCCAGGAATCTTCATTTCTAACAAGCTCCCCAAGCGATTCTGATGCATATTTATGCATGAGAATTGTTGATTTGCTGAGTCCTTGCTGAGTGCCAAAGTCTAGTCTTGTCTTATACTGTTAAGCTGTCGGCCTTAGGCAGGTCACTTACCCTCTGTGGGCCTTGGTTTTCTCACCTGTAAAAGGAAGGGCAGGACTTGGAGGTCTCCGGGGTCATCCTGCTCTAACACGCTTGGGATTCCACTTGAGACAGGCTTCTTTGTAGGGCCAGCATGGTGGGAAAGGAGAACTGGGAGCTGCTGACGGTGAGCCCAGATGTCCCACCACTGTCTGGGTGGAGAGCCAGCAGTCACTACTGATGTTCAGGGGTGCACAGAGGTCTTGGGCCAGATGGGGGCCAAACCCATTATCCCAGTGGCCTGGCCTAGTTGGGGATTGTGTGGAAAATACCAGTGTCTAGGCAGGGCAGTCAGGCCAGAGGCAGCCTGGGGCTGATCCCTGGGGAGAGGGGTGGGCACAGAGACTGGGTCTGAATGTCAGGGCTCCGGCTCAGAACCAGACTCAAGGTCCTATAGAGGCATCAGAGAGCAAATGAGAACAGGGCAGACACCCAGGCATGGGGGGACAGCTGCAACTCAGGGGGCTCCCTGGCAGGTGACAGCATGGCACAACTCCAAGAGATACCATCTTATAGAATACAACTTGGTTGGTGTCCCCGAGAGTTGTGCAGCATGGAGCAACATGCTGGGACTAGGCACCTGCGGTACCCCTAGGTATCCTGGATCTTGAACTTAGGGCAGCAGGATAAGCTTGAGGCACACTCACTGCTTTAGTCAGCTGGGGCACAGCCAGCCATCTGGGAAGGATGTTTCCCCACCCCTCATGGTTGGGAACAAGAGGCCTGAGCTTAGCCCAAGGATGGCCACAATAGGTCAGGGAGGGAGGGAGCAGCAGTAACAGGTTCAACAGGAACTTTCCTCACATCTACAATCTGCTCCCAGTAATTACAGCCCCCCATGCCACTTTGCCCTCTGGATCCAGACCGCCTGGACCCTCCCCAAGGACTCAGGAGCACTGCCAACAAGAGGGAAGGGTCCAGAGAAGGTTCCAGGCCACTCAAAGGACTGGTCAACAGGGTCCAGGAGATGGGCCTTGTTTTGGTACAAGAAATGGTGGAGAAAGAAGAGTCACTGAAATTTGGAGGGTTGTTGTCCAGAGCACGGATTGCAAAAGCAAACAAGGTTCAGTGTCTTGCAGCAGACCGAGTGCTTTTACTAGCAATTACCTTAACCTTGAAACAACCCTGGGAAGCGATTAATATCATTACCCTGAGGAAACAGAGACTTAGGAAGTCATAGGGCTAACAGGTGCCAGGGCCAGGACTCAGCTCGGGCTTTGTATTTCCACCACAGCACTGACCACCAGGTCTTCATCTTCACTGCGGACGAAACCACGAGAAACGGCCCGGTGCAGGACAACCAGAGTTAAGTCACTAGGAAAACCGGTGAGCACAAGGTAGGAAGGCTTCTTGCTGTTGTTAGCTGCCATCAAGCCAGCCCGACCCCATGCAACAACAGAACGAAACGCTGCCCAGTTCTGCTCCATCCCCACAATTGGTTGTAGATCGGACCGTTGTGATCCATGGGTTTTCATTGGCTGTGCAAGTGGATCACCAGGCCTTTCTTCCTAGTCTGTCTTAGTCTGGAAGTTCTGCTGATATCTGTTCAGCATCATAGCAACACACAAGCCTCCACTGATAGACAGGTGGTGGCTGTGCACGAGGTGCTTTGGCTGGGAAAGGAAACAGGGTCTCCCACATGGAAGGCAAGAGAGCATTCTACCACGAACCATCACTGGACCGTATGTAGCAAAGCTAGGAGTTTTTAAAGAGGTCATGAGATTTTTCTCTCCTGAGCCTCCAGAAGGGTCAGCAGCTCCCCACTTCCTTAAGACTCAACCCTCTGGAGGCTCACCCCTGAGACTCTCTGATTCTCTCTGGTGGCCTAATGAAGCTATAAGCAGAAGCTGTTTTCTCCTCTCTGTTAAATGCTTTAGAAACATCTAGATTCAGAGAGGGACCAAATCCTAATCTCTATCTTCAGTGACATCCCCCAGCCAATTTCCCGCATGACACACTGCCACACAACCACAAGATTTCAAATTCTCTTTATTAAAAATCTTTTTATTTTCCTTTTGTAAAAACAAACACTTTTCGGTCAGTTATGCAGATTAGGAAAAGTGGTGACAATTTATAGGAAGACACCCAACAAATTCTGATACTTTACAAACTCAAACTTAAATTAACTAGTGTTTTTCTTTTTTTCATAAGCTTAAAAAACAAACACTGGTCCAGTTCAAGTATAATCTAACAGATCACAGCCTCAGACTGTCCAAGAATGGGGAATCTTAATACTAACAGCTGCTGCTCACACCAACATCAAATTTGCCAAATTCTTTGGGAATAAGGTCGATGGATTTTATTTCCGTTGTTTACAATGAAAAGAAAATTACACAGGCATTGTTATATTAACCCAGGTACAAATGAATCTGTTTGCTCAGGGTTACAACTGCTGTTGCGTAATCTTCTAGGAGAGACACTTTGAAATGGTTGACAAACACTGAAGAAAAGCTTTAAAAAAATCAATATTTTCCTGGTCGCCTTTAATACTGCATTGTGTGTGACACAGAGGAATAAAAAGTGCAAATTACATACTCATTGAAGGACCATGCCAATGGAATTGTATAAAAATAATATATATACACACAAGAAGAGAATCTTCGATGATTTTAAAACTGAAGATTCTGATTGAACGCAGAGAGCCTGTCCTCCCTCCCTCCCTCCAGGGGACTCTCTCCAGCTTTCCAATATGGAGAAGGTCTATAGCAAGGGAGCCACTACATTACTGAAGAATGCAGCTGCTTGAAAGCCTGTCAGGATTTCCATGGAAACGCCACTGCGGGGATGAGCTGGTGAGGTCAGCTCCCACTCTGCTGGGGGATGAGGCTGCCAGCCTCTCTGAAAAGGCAGAGTTCCGGCCTCTGATGGAGGCTATAGGCTTTTCTCAGCAAGATTCAGTGAGGAGGCCAGAGCTTCCCCCAGACTTCCCTCCAGTGGGAAGAAAGACACGCGGGGTCAAAGGTTTTCTGAGAAACTGGAGTCCAGATGTCGGTTAAAACCTGTGGAGTCAGCCAGGGAACAGGTCTGGACTGAGCCACAATCTTCAGACCTTAGTCTATTTGAGTTACCAATCTTCCCGAGGCCCCCAAATAGCCTGATAATGAGTTCAAGTTCCCTGCTTCTCTCAACCTCTCCTCACACGTGTCCGAACTGGTCTGCTTTCCTCTGGTATTTGCCTTAACTCTTCTCTCTCACAAGTTCCCAGTAATTGTCTCCTCATCGGTTACCATTTGCCTCAAGGTTTACACACGATCATTTTATGGTCTACATTTCTTGCCTTTCTGTGCCTCAGTTTCCTCACTGATAAAACATCAGTGTTGAACCAGATAATCTTTCAACTCTTCTTTCATTAGTTCAGAGGACAGAATGTGTGGTATACTCTTACCCACTATAAAAAGGAAAAATAAAACAAAAACCAAAAACCAACCCCTTCCCGGTGTACCTGCCTGTGGTAGAAACAGAAACAACAGGAACCGCTAAGGGGAGTGACACATCTTCCTCGTTTTGTTTTTCTCTTGTTTTTCAGGCTGAGTGCCTTTAGGGGAGTATATTACTTGTGAAAACAGCACCAGGCTCCCTGCTGACCTTCCTGACGTCTCCCCAAAGGCTGTTACCGACCCTAATTTCCCAAGCACCTTTGTCCCAAAACTCTTCCAGTGGAACATCATACTAGACCTGCAGTCCATCTGGGGCCTGAAGGCACTGACCTCCCATATCAAAAGCACGTTAGGAATAAGGGGCCCGACCTTCATAACACTTTGACATCAAAGTCTGCTCACGGTCGACTCTGAAGAGCCTTCAAACATCTCTGTCAAGTTGGAAAGGGCTCACCTACAAACACCCCACAAACCTCAAATGCCACTCTTCAGTCCTGCAGCTATCTCTCTCCTCAGCTCCCACCCTCTCATCACAGTGAGGCTCCTGTTCCCCAGAGCGGAGGCACCAAGGGTGACACAAGGTCAGATGCCACTTTCTTGTTTTTATGTTTCTTGAGCCAATGTCACGCGTTGCAGAGAGGCCAACATCTGACCTAAGCCTACCAAGTGCTGTTTTAGCTGGAGGGAGAAGAAGCTTCTGTTTTCGTTTTTAATTAAAGTGACTCTGCCAAATTCGTTGTCCAGAATGGAGTCAGCCCTCACATTTTCTGAAATCAAGAGTAGGTAAATTTTTGGGGAGGAGTTTGGAGGGAACTTATCAGAGCTTCCAAAATGAAAGGCTCTTTTCCCTTTTCTTAAAAGTCATTTAATTTTACTTAAGGCATGAATTGGGCAGACTTCTAGAATAACTGAGAGGATAAAAGAGTTATTTAAAACAAGGGCTTTTCAAAAAGGTGGTTCAGCTGCAGGAAGAGGGTCATGAAGCAACTCCCAGCTTCTGCCAACTGATTACCCTGGTACCGCCTCTCCTGGACAGCAGGACCCTGACTTAGCTCTACCATGCAAAGGGCCCCAGGCAGAGACACCACTGCAGATTACCATAGTGGCTCTCTTTACCCGGGAGTTTCTGCTAAATCTTTTCCTTGGATGACTCGGTTTGGACTGAACTCTTACATCCTATCAAGAATTTGAACACTGTGAAAATCCCTGAGAAGTTGGATTTTATGAAAAGGAAATGACCCTTGGCACAAAACGAGAGAGGGAGAGGGAGGGAGAAGGAAGACGAGAGAAAAGTTAATTGAAAGATTGTGTGAGACAACAAGAGAGCAAGGAGGCAGCCTGTCGCCCTCAGCGGGCTGGACACGCCAGGGTGATCTGGCCCCTGGAGACACTGGAGGGGCGTTTTAATGAGTCTCTGAGAACAAACTCAACAACGTGCCCTGCCTGAGTTTTCCTTCCTCCCTCGCTTTAGTTCCTGTCCTGGAGGGAGGCCAGGAAGGCCCCACCTCAGCAGGCCCTCCCCTCCCACCTTCTGGCAGCAGCACAGCAGGGGCATCAGAGCTTTTTCCTCTCAAAGTGCGGCACGATTCCTCCGCTGTCCTCCGGACTCAGGCTGCCAGCCCCCTTGGCCTCCTTCAGGCCCTCCTCGGCCAACTGGGACAAGTACTTCTGTGGTAGGGAGAGAGGAAGAGGGGAGGGAAAGAGGTCAGTAGTGACCTAGCTGGAGAGGAGAGGACGAGGGGTGTGCCTAGCCCCCCTTTTCTATCATCTGTGCTCAGTGGGTGGGACGCCCTCTCCTTTGTCATCTCCCCAATCTGGGGCTGCAGGCCCCATACTAAGCAGTGTGCTTCCTCCCCTCATTACCAGTACTACGTGCGGAAACAGTAGAAAGTACAGATACTAAGAATAGCAAACACTACCGCAGCCCTTATTCTCTGTGCCAACACTGTTCTAGATGCCTTATTTATATATACTCATTTAATCCTCACAGCTCCTCTGTCTGTTTTCCAGAAAGAGCCCCAGTCTCTAGGCAGCAGTCTACTCCTAGAGGGGAAGGAGGGAGAGGGGAGCAGGGAGGGCAGGAGGAGAGAAGGCTGTCCTATAGCAATTGCGAAAGACAAAAACCACAGCCTGACAACCGAGACTCTTAACAGCCTGTTTCCTGTCTGGGCAGGCTCACAGATTGAGTGTGTTGGAGGTCCTTCTACGTACTTGAAAATGGGCCTGTCTGTTTCTGTGGTTGGGGGCTGCCTCCACACCACCCCGTAAACACTCACTGCTCTGACTGGCCCTGAACCAAACATGGGGAGCCTGTCCAGGTTGCTGCTCTCTGGACGTCTGCATTCAAGGCAGTGAGACAGACCAGGAAACCGGCTGGGGCCCCAACCTGGGTTCTCTGCCTGTGCCAGAACTGCAAGAGGCAATGCAGAGAGCACGGGATAGGGAGTCAGAGAGCCTGGCTTAGGTCCAGGGCAGTGGTTAAGTGTGTGGGCTCTGCCGTTAGATGATTTGGAATCGAATCCTAGCTTCTCACCAGGCAAATTATCAAACATCTCTGACATCTGTAAAATGAGGGTAATAATGGTAACTACTGCGTAAGGTTGCTGTGAAGTCTAAAAGTCAGTAATAAAGCTTAAAGCATTCAGCACAGTGCCTGGCACAAAATCAACACTCAGAGTCCCTGGGCAGTGCCAACGGTTAAGCACTTGGTGGTGAATTGAAATGTTGGTAGTTCAAGTCCACCCGGGGGCGCCTCAAAAGAAAGGCCTGGCAATCTACTCCCAGAAAAAAAATTCAGCCACTGAAAACCCTGTGGAGCACGGTTCTACTCTGACACACATTGGGCTGCCGTGAGTCGGAGTCAACTCGACGGCAACTGGATTTTGTTTTAATGTTGGCCTTCATCGTCAGTGTTACCAGCCATCTGACTTTGGGAAAGTCACTCTACTTCTCCCAGCCTCGGACTCCTAATCTGTTAAGTGGGAGCAACAGTGTCCTCCTTTCCCCCCTTCAAGGATGATTCTGGGGATCAGGCAAGGTGATGTGTGAAAGAGGACTGGGTCTACTTCGGGCTCCATGAAAGAGGCTGTGGTTGGTTTGCAGAGGTGGGTACAGCATGGCAGAGAGAGGGGCAAAGCGTGGACCTGGGGCAAGGCTGCTGACCCAGGGCCCAGTTTCTCCTGTGCCTCAGCTCATTGTTATTGGTGGGTGCCATCGAGTCGATTCTGACTTATGGTGATGCCATGTGTTACAGAGTAAAACTGCCCTGTAGGATTTCCTGGGCTGTAATCTTGACAGAAGCAGATCACCAGGCCTTTCTCTCAAGGATCAGCTGGTTGAGTTCGAATTACCAACCCTTTGGTCAGCAGCAAGTGCTTAACAGTTGCACCACTAGGGGAGGGAAAATGTGTGCAGAGGAAGGTAAGTGGATGAATGTGTTGGGTCTAGGCCTGTTCTTCTCCAGGAACAGGAGCTTTCCTATCTAGCACTGACTCCACCTGTTGTTCACTCTGGGTAGGTTCTCTCAGCCACGACCAGCAGTAGGGCACACAGGGGTTGCACGGACTGAATGGCGGCTCCTTCCACCTGCCCTACCCCACAGAACAATCCTGGCGGGTGCTAATTTTACAAGTTGCCTGACTTAGGGGTCAGCCAGCACCTGCTGCTCTGTTCTGGATTCTTCACTTTTCACACGAGCAACCTGGGGTGGGCGAGGCTGTGGGGACAGAGGCATTCTCTCAAGGCCACTGATAGAAACCCTATCTGGGAAGCCCATGATGGGGGCTCCAGCTCCCCAACAGGTACACCCTGGAAACCTGAACTGTGGTTGGCCAGCATGAGGGGCTTAGCCAGTGGCTGGACCTGGTGGACCTGGGGATCATAGGAAAGGCCCCGGCCTGCTGTGGGGAAAAGGTGCATCTGCCTGGGGGCCTGGCCCAGAACACAGTGCAGCCCACTGACCTGGCGAAAAATACTGGATTTGGAGTTAGAGGTTGTCATGGATTGAATTATGTCCCTCCAAAAATGTGTGTATCAATTTGGCTGGGCCATGATTCCCAGTACTGTGTGGTTGTCTGCCAGTTTGTGATTGTAATCTTATGTTAAAGAAGATTAGGGTGGGATTGTAACACCCTTACTAAAGTCACATCCCTGATCCACTGTAAAGGGAGTTTCCCTGGGGTGTGGCCTGCACCACCTTTTATCTTACAAGAGATAAAAGGAAAGGGAAGCAAGCAGAGAGTTGGGGATCTCACACCACCATGAAAGCACTGCCGGGAGCAGAGCGCGTCCTTTGGACCTGAGGTTCCTGTGCTGAGATGCTCCCAAACTAAGGGAAGACTGATGACAAGGACCTTCCTCCAGATCCGACAGAGAAAGAAAGCCTTCCCCTGGAGCTGCTGCCCTGAATTTGGACTTCTAGCCTACTGGACTGTGAGAAAATAAATTTCTCTTTGTTAAAGCCATCCACTTGTGGTATTTCTGTCACAGCGGCACTAGATGACTGAGACAGAGGTCATGGCAAATTCTGACTCTTCCTAACTCCCTGGATGACCCTGAGCTGTGTGGTCTCCAGGGGACTACACAAACCAGGTGAGAATCTGGATGAGAAAAAAGCTTCTCACACTGGGGTGAGTATCAGAGCCAACTGGAAAGCTTGTTTTAAAATGCAGATCCCCAGGCCTAGCTCTAGAGAGAATGATGAGTAAGTGTGGATAGGATGGGGCCCAGGAAGCTGCATTTTAAAAAGATGCCAGCTGGCATGAAGACCAAGGTTTGGGAAAACTTGAACCAGATGATCTCTAAGACACCTTCCAGCCCTTCCATTCTGTGGGTTCATCTTCTTGGGGATGGTGATAACCGTGTCTTCAGCATAGGCAACTGCCCTCAGTTGGCTCTGTGGAGACCAGTTTGAACTGGCCGAGCTGGCCAAGTCAGACTCTCACTGCCCTCTCCTGGGCTCTGGGCCCCATGGTCATGGAGCAGTTGTTCTCCACAGGGAAATCAAGAGGCTTAAATGACCTAGGTTTGGGCATAGCCAATGATGGACCCTTGCAGATGTTGACCCAGGCCATGACTTACAGGTCTCAGCTTGCATGACCAGTTTAATAGAGTAAAAGAGGAAAGTAATTAAGAATCAGGTGATCTGGTCCCAGGTCCAGTAACTCACTATCTGCATGGCCTGGGACAAATCACATACCTTTTCTGGGCCTCAGTTTCCTCCATTACAAAGTGAGGGAGTCGGCCCACATCTCAGTTTCCTAACTAGGAGTACACATTTGAATAGTTTGGAGAACTTTCTCAAATTTTGTATTGCAGGGCCCCACTCAATTTCTACTGAATCTGACCTAGTAGATGTATGTTAGAAAAATTGCCCAGGTAACTCTGGTTCACACCCCTGGGTAAGAACCACTGGAACAGCAGCTCTGTAACTGTAACAATTCATAGACCTGATGGTCTCAGCAGTAATGACTGTCTGGAATTAGAGCACGTTGCCACCACCAGGGGCTTCCCAAGTTGAGGTCCAACAGCTAGTCTGACTCCCTGTAACAAAAACTGCAGGTGCCTTTAGATACTTACCTTGGGCCTCTAATAAAGTGTGCTTTCTGTTAAGTTACTAAATCCTAGCCTACACCAGAAGTTACTTATGAAAACCACATTCTAATATACATTAGTTAGGTATATATTATAAAATATATCACTGTATTTCATTTATTCTAAGACACATTTTTTTTTTAACTCATTAACTGCCTACAATGAAGATGTGTTTTACAATCAATGGAGTATCACTGTTTAATTTGCAACATTTTTTGTTGTTGGTATCAAAAACAGTGTTGTGTCTTATAACTGGTGGTACCTTAGATTAGATAAAACATGGCATATAGAGTATTTTTCATATGTCACCTTTTAATCTGCTGACTTATTTATTATGTGTCTCCTGGGCTAGAATGAAAGCTCCATGAGGGCAGGGATTTTTGTCTGTTTGTTTTTTACCATTGTATCCCCAGCGCCTAGAACGGTATCCAGCATACAGTATGCCTGTGATGAATATTTGCTGAATGAATGAACAGTTAAATAGAACTTAAGTGTGGTTTTTATTCCAGCAAACAGGGACACCTGCACAGGGAAACAGAACTATGGGGCAGTATCTGCATTTAGAAGAGCCAGGTCTTTTGGAGAGGGGATCCCCCCTCCAATCATGAGCCAGGTGAACACTGGCCCCATTCACAGGCTAGAGGGAGAGGCGGATATGAAAAACCAACCCAAATCCAATGCTTTAAGTGCATACGAACATAGAGACAGGTGCTCTGGGAGCACCTAGGAGGAGCAGCCTGGTAGTGTTAAGTCTAAAGGAAGGCTAGGAGGTCTCCACGCAGTGGAAGATGATAGAAACTCATAGAAGCTGAGAACAGCATGGTGTGCCTGGGGAATGGCAAGTAGCCTGGGCCTGGAGTCAGCCTTGAAGGTGGGAGCTAGAAACAGAGTCAAGCAGGGCCAAGCTAGCCAGGGAGCCTGATGCCTGTGCTAAACATGGAGCCTGGGAAGCCATCCAGGGTGCTGGGCAAGGAATGCGACAGTTACCTGTAAGTTCCTGTAGTGGACAGCACTGCGACAGTGGCTCATCTTTGCCATCTCCTCGCTCGTGTAGAACAGCCCACACAGCTTGCAATAAAAACCAGTCCTGGGCACCACGAACTCCACCCCTGGGGAGATGGGGGATGGACAGGCAGGCATTAGGAAGGCAGTGGGAGGCCCCCGTGGCCCGGGTGGAAATGGCAGTGACCTGCTCCACCTCTCACTTGCTGTTGACTTTGGCTAGTTACCTAGCTTCTCCAAGCTTCAGTTTGCTTATCTGCAAAAGAGGCTCAAGAGACTAGCACCCACTTCATTCACAGGTGGCTGTGAATCTAAGGGAAGGACTCTGTGAAACAGGGTGAAGTGCTTAACAATTATTTGCTTGGCATCCAGCCTTTGGGAATCTAGGACCAGACTCTCTTACTATCAGACTGCTTCCAGAAACATAAGAGGAAGAAAGTTCTCCCGATTTCTTACATTTTTACTTGTTGGATTTCATTCCTCCACCCTGTACCTCTCCTCTTTCCAGCTGACACGGCCAAGGGTCTGGAAGAATTCTCCTCAGTTTTGTTTATTTCAGAATTATGTTCATTAAAGAAATTTTTAAAAATGAATAAAAGTGAGGAAAAATCACCCAGAGTCACGCCAATCCAAATCTTTTCTTCCACCCTATTTATCTATACATAGGATGTATGTGTGTGTGTGTATATATATATAGATATACACACACACTATATATATATACACACACTACATATATATACACACACTATATATATATGTATACACACATATTTATTTATATACACACATATATATAAAATATAGCAGTTTTTTAATCATATCCTAAATCCAATTCTGTATCCTCCCTTGTTCATGGAATAGTATATCATAAACATTTTCCATCCTGCTCCAGTTTTTATATCTGAACCATCAAATAAAAACACTTCATTTGTGACTTATTAAATAAAAGTGGTGATGGTCTCACAGGTAGATACATATGTCAAAACAGATCAAATTGTACACTTTAAATATGTTCAGTTTATTGCATGTCAATTATACCTCAATAGAACTGTTAAAAAAAAATAAGATACCATTTTCCTCCTAACAGATTAGCAAAGATTAAAGAACAATAACATCCGGTGCTGGCAAGGGCATGGAGAAATGGGAATTCTCATACAAGGTGGCAGTGAGAACTGGTGTAATCTTTTTGGAATACCATTTAGTAGCAATTATAAAATTTAAAATGTAAATACATATGACCCCACAAACCCTGCGGCTAGGACTCTGTCCTACAGAAATGTTGGCACACACGTAAAGGGAACCGAGCAAGCACGTGTAGAAGGCAGCGGAGCACAGAGGTTAAGGACATGGTTCTAGAGTCAGATGACTGGCGTTTGAATCTTGACTCCAGTCTTTGCCAAAGCATTAGCTCTGTGGCCCTTCATCTCAGGTATCTTATCTGTAAAATAGGGATAAAAATATTACCTACCTTATAGGGGGTTTTGTGAGGGTTCAATGAAATAACACACACAAAGCACTAAGAATAGTGCCTGTATGGTAAATGATAAAAATAAAACCTTAGCTATGATAGGATTTTTATAATGGCAAAAAAAAAAAAAAAGTTTTAAACAACCTAAATGTTCATCAGTAGAAAAATGGATTAGCAATATATGGTACATCTTTAAGATGGAACATTTGTAATGATCACAAAGAATGTGTTTTCTATGTTCCAGCATGAAGCGATATCTATGACCCATGTAAAGTGAAACACACAAACTGCAGAACATTATGTGTATAGTGTGATCTTATTTTTGTGGGAGGAAAACCATTCATGCATACGACAGTGACTACTTCTGAGGGCTGGGGAGAGACTGAGGGGAAGAGAGAAAATTTTTAATATTCACTTTATATAGTTTTTATTTTTTTAATTAGTTACAATAACTTTTCATACTTAAAAAAGTTTTATTCCGGTAAAATATACATAACAAAATTTTGCCACGTTAACATTTTTAAGTGTACAATTCAGTGATGTTAATTACATTCACCATGTTGTGCAACCATCACCACTATGTAGTTCCAAAAATTTTTCATCACCCCGAACAGAAACTCAGTACACCTTAAGCAACAACTCCCCATCTCCCTTCCCCAGCCCCTGGTAACCACTAATAAACTTTTGCCTCTATCTTTCATACTTTTTGCATTAAAAATAAATAAATGAATGAAAAATACACTAATTATAAGGTAGCAGAATTTATTCTTGGTTTTTGCTTGTGTGTGTCAATTAAGTTCCAAGTTCTTGGATGACAAGAGACTCATGTTACATTTCTTGGTTTCCCCAGAGTTCCCAGCACAGTGCCATGTTCTCCAGTAAACAGTTACTGAATGCACGAATGAATTGCCTGCACACCTTTCTCCTGAAAGTCAGCCTTTGCGACTCTCTTCCAGGGTAAAAACACCCAGAATGAAGTACTGATACATGGTTCAACATGGATAAACCTTAAAAATCCTATGCCAAGTGAAAGAAGCCAGACACAAAAGGCGACATGCTGTATGATTCCATTTCTATGCAATACCCAGAACAGACAAATCCATAGAAAGAGAAAGTTGACTAGTGGTTGCCAGGGGCTGAAGGACAGGGAGAATGGGGAGTAACTGCTTAGTGGATACTGAGTTTCCTTTCGGAGTGATGAGAATGTATTGGAACTAGACAGAGGTTGTGCAACATTGTGAATGTACTTAATGCCTCTGAATTGAACACTTTAAAATTTGAATTTTATCTCAACAGAACAAAAAACACCCAGTGCACTCATCTCAGTTCATTCTAAGGTCAGCATTTTTTTCTTTTTTTTAAGTTTTTAATCCTGGAGGATGCTGTGCAACTTTACCCCTTAAGAAACAAAAGAAGGAAGTTTCCTCTCTAATCTGACTCTATGAAAATGGCACATTTAGAGGAAAGAAATAATAAGAGATTTTGTAAAAGGAGAAGAAAAGAAAAATAGAAACTTGGATGGAAAAGGGCGAGCCTCCATGGAGACTAGCTCCTCGCTGGTATGAGCAGACTTGTGGTTATCGGTCATCATATAACAGCTTTTGGCCCTTCCTTGTCACACTTTCCCATCTAAGGCCTCATTCTCTCTCGCTGAGCAGCTCTACTCTCCCTTTGTCTCACTGCGTTGCCCACCTTTCAGAGCCAATGCAAAGACTCAAAGATGATATGGATTTGAGTGGGAGTCGCTGGGGTAGTGGTGGTATCAGAATCTCCTGGGAGACTTTCCCAAACTACCTTTGTTCACTAGCCTGAAACTCTGGATTAACTCTCCTGTTTGTAAATGAGCCCTAGATGGTTCTAACACCACCACCACTCCTCCACATCACCACTGAAAACAAAACCACCAATCTGGCCCAATTCCAGGTGGTGGAATTAGAAACTGATGCTCAAGAAGGGGTCTGACTTATCTGAGGATACAGTCACCCAGTAAAATGGAAAAGGAAGAGCATGGACCCAGCATCTCTCTGTCCAATGTTCCCTTTATCAACCATATAGGGTCTCCCTCAAAACACAGTCTATTCCTCATCATTCCCTCAGAGAAGCTGGGCACTCAAAGAGGAAGAATGAGGCATTGTTTGGGGCAGGACTGGGGCAAGAGGAGAGGAGGAGGAGTATAGCAGCAGAAGAGGCTTGTTTCTGTTGACTTTACTTCCCAGTCTGAACAAGGGCTGAACGTAGAGGCTGTGTGTGGTCAGGAAGAAGGCATTCTCTGATGGGGCAAACAAGCTTCTCTTAGCTCTCGGTCCCAGGGCAGCGCTCTTTAAGGGCAGGCCCCATGGGGCATCTGGTCTATCAAGGGAGCCTGAAATTGCAGGCAACTTGCAAATCTAGCTGATTGCACCAGCCATGAACAACAACAACGAACGACAAAAAGCCCTCTTATGCTCTCAGATGTTGCTATCGAGCTACCAGTTCTTGGAGTTGAATTCTCAGGAAGGGCTGTGTATTTCACCTACCTAGAGGAATGCTAAGTTCACTGAACACATCCTCTGGTTCCCAGGAAGGCAAAGAAAGGGGCTGTTTCAGCTCCACTTCGGTGTATTCTGGTGACCTCGCATCCAGGGATTTCATCACCCTGTACCTGGAGTTTTCTGCAAAACATGAGCCAAGGCAAAAAACTAAAGGAACACAACGTGCCTCAAAGAAGCAGTACTATTCTAGTTACCCATACTGTGTAATCGGGATTGTCCCTTAGGCTGCTGAATAACATGAAACTAGGAAAATAATTAGAACCAAAGAGCCATAATTTAGAGAAGGTTGCCAAAAGGTTGCTACACACAATAAAACGTGGCAAATCTGTGCATTCAGTCCAGGGGGAGTGGACTTTGATACCTTCAGTTTGGATGATCCACCCCCATGCCCTTCAACTCAGTATCATTCCATCTTTGCAGCCAGAAGAACTACTGAAGGACAAAAATTGTGCCGACGTCCAGGGAACACCGAGGCTGGCAAAAAAGGCAATGCTATTCTCACCCTAAGCCTGTCAAGCAGTGTCATTAACCATGAACTCAGAACACTGGGTAAGGTAATAAGCCACAAACATCAATGCGTGTTGAGACCTACACAACAAAATCAAAGGGGTTCAATCAGAGCAAGGTGACAATTTTGCTCCTCCTTTATCCTTGCCTTCTACAGAGCGAGCCTGGGCCTCAGGGTTTCTCTAGCAACAAGAAGGCAGTTCACGGCAGAGTTTCCATGGAGACCGAGATCTACACACGTGAAAAACACCTCAGGTCAGCATGACTGAGAAAAACCTGAGCCTCCAAGTCAACTACCAGCTCCTGCCACCCACAGAGCACTGGGCTGAAATATTTAAGACTTGCCCCTATATTTTTTGCCCCCTGGTTCTTGTTCGCCTTCTTTTAGCCTCTGGTATGCTGCAGGTCTTCCTTAAAATGAATCTCTAGTTCTTTCAAGAGGAGAGCCATAAGGGCTATTAGCCCTCCCTCCTCCTTCTTGCCTCTCTCCTGCCCATAGCCCTTGATGGAGTTGGTTGCCATTTGGCAGATAAGACCTGGCTTAGTCTATTTTAAACTCACTCTCATGATGTCACAGTGCTGGACACAGACACGACATCACCTCCAAGGGAGGCAAAGGAGGTCCCGGGACACGTCTTGTTTCACTGCCAGACCCTGGAGATAAATGGGTCTGAGGTAGAAAGAAGGGGAAAAGGTCTACCCCTTCCTTTAGGAGCCCCTCACTCCTTTCCCTGTCCTCTCCTTTCTCGCCTCCCACACTCCCGCCCCATCCCTCAGGCCTCACAGAATTCGTCTGGGTGGACCTCTGCCTTCAGACAAGAGAGGCTGCATGCTGATCCCACTCGTTTTGCTGATAATGCAAGCTCACTGTGGTTGTCAGAGTCCATATGGGCTCCTGCAAATTCAGAGAACACTGTCCTATCTGAGTTTGCTTCTTCGAAAACTTTCAGCCTCCTATCTGATTTCCTTTATACCATTCACCTAAATGGTCTTAACAGTTTAACCAGGATTTTAGAAGCTTGCCTCTGTGACTCAATTACTTCCTGCACCAGCTTGAATGCTAGTGGAAACCTTACTGATGTCCGTTCCAGCCTGCACATGCCCACACACTTCTTTAGGTGAGCAGCTGTCCCATCAACCCAACCGCACATGAGAAAAAGAGGAGGTAGTTACCCTGGGTCAACACTTCTTGGCAAGCCTGGCTTTGGAGGTCGGTTTCGGTGGGGGGGCTGGCTTTCTCCTCCAGGGGGCTGCCTTCGTAAGCCCCATCTTCGGGGGCTCCCCTGGCCTTACTGTCATCAAGGACTGGGCTAAGTTGCCGGGCCTTCTCCTCTGCTGGCTGGGGGGAAGACATTTGCTGGACTGCGGGGTCCAGACAAACATCTGCACTCTCCGCTCCCTTTGCCTCCTTCTCGCAGCAATCTGAAGCCGCCAGTAGTGAGTGGCCTACTTCGCATTCATCTGGCTTCTGCTCAGCATCCCGATTTAGGCCTGGCGTTTCCACGTCCATGTCACTGGGACAGCTCCCGGAAGTAGAAGGCAGTTCTCTGACCAACTTGAGGCTGATTTCAGGAGCCCCATTGCCCATGGTTTTGACGCCCTCCTTGGCAAAATCACTGGCCAAGTCCAGGTCTAAGGTGGTCGTCCCACAGGGGCATATTTCTGGGCAGGTTTTGTCTTTCTGGTCAATGGCCACAATTTCTTCCAGCTCTGGGATGTCTGGTTCCATGATAAAATCTTCTTCTTCCCCTACCTCATCCACTGTGACCAGCTCCTCCATGTTAGTGGGATACCAGCTCTCCCCTTCTGCCTCGCTTCCACTGTCCCAATCTTGTTCCTGTACAAAAATATACAATGGTGGTCAGGAAGTGGCTTAGGATGGGCCCTGGTATTCAAACAGAGGGCGCAAACCTTGACCACTAGGACCCTTCAAACCAGGGAGATCCTGAGCATTCTTCTAGCTGGGAGCAGTTACTGGGTAGTCAGGAGCTGTAAACCACTGACCCACACAAGGTCCCACATCACTGACTCATCCACACAGGATTTGGAAAAAGCCCTTAATGCTTAATCCATCACGTTTAAAGTGACACAAAGAATTTCAACCCCTGGCACGTAGTAAGTGTTCAATAAATAGTTTTTGAGTGAATGAATGACTAAGCTATAAACTTTAGATGAATCAGGTTGCTGGAGCTATTTCCTTGCATTTGGGGTATCGCTAAATGTAACTGGGGCAAAGTCCAACACAAAATTCCCCCAAGTACCCATTCCCAGCAAGGGTGAAACTTCCACAGTCATGGCTCACACTTGGCCCCTCCTGAAACTTTCCTCTTGGCATCCCAGCAGCCTACAGACCCAGCAGACAGATTTAGGAGATCAGCTTCCCTGATGACGATACCCATCTCTCCCGCCTCCACTGACTGGAAAGGCATGAAGCTAGTCACAGTCCAAGGACATTTGTTTTTGCTGTGGCAGTCCCTGCCCAGGAGGACTATAGCTGAGTTTTTCATTTTAATTAAGTAAAATAATCTTTACAAGCACAATAGATGTCTTGCTAATCCCAGGGTCTGGGCCTGCTGAGGTTAGGGCCCCAGCTCAAGAGCCTGAAGCCCTCGAGGGACCTGCTGGTCTATTTTGGGAGGCTGGCTCTGAAGCCTGAGTCTTTTCTGGGCACATGTTTTCTCTTACAAGGCACAGCCAAGTCGCTAGAGTATGAGGCAGAGCCCAGGCGTGTGGGTAAAGAGTGCCTCAATCAAGACTGTGAAGATCCCAGGCAAAAGCCATTCCTCTAAGAAGTGCTGGGAGGACCAGTTCATTCATGGAACCACTGGTAGGTCTTGGACACAGTCCACTTGGTGGGGCATCACTGGGTAGAACGGGGAATGGAGACTCCTATGACTTGGTCCCCAGTGGCTGTTGTGCAGATGTGGCTAAACTGCTGGTATCTTGGACAAACTTTACCTTCTTTTTCCTTGTGTTTTCTGGATCAAAGGACTCTGTTTCCTTCTCCTGCCTGTCCACTGACTGGGGGCTTTCTTCCATGCCCTCTTGTTCTTTTTCAGCCTTAAAAAAAAGATAAAAACAGAACAAACCTAAACAACGGTGAGCAGTGGCCAAGAAAAGAGGGAACAGCAAGGGAAAAATAACAATATTGAACACAACCAATAATAGTCAGGCGCACTTCACGTACATCGTTTTCTTTATCCTCACAAAACCCCTCAGAGGTAGGTGCTGTTATATTTTCATTTTACAGATGAGGAAACTGAGGCTTAGAGAGGTTAAGTAATTTGCTCAAGATCACACAGACAAATGGAAGCAAACAAATATCTTGAAGGCCGGCCCATGTCTGGTGGGTGGAGCAGGGAGGGCAGAAATCCTTGGCAAACTGTATTTTTGTAGCTGTGGAAGCCTGTAGACAACAAGGGTGAGCAAAGAAGGCCAAGGGTGAATTGACTTGGGCAGGCTCAGATCCTGGGATTAACAGTCATCCTGGTGACATCTCCCCAACAAACTCGTCTTGGACATACAAAATGACATTCAGGCCATTTACGGTAGGAAGGGGGTTGTCACCCAGTTGGTGCCCTTCTCATCTCTCTGTTGTCCTATCTTTGTCCTAGAGCTATAGCCCAAACTAGCAATCTCCTCCTTTCCTATTTTAACAATCTCTTCTGTTCCCTGCCCTTAATTAAACCCCTCATGATAATGCCCACGTCTATGAAACTTAACAACTGAAAGCCGGTTGAGACTTGGGGTCTCTAAACAGGGTGTGAGAGGCATTGGTGGTTCAGTGGTAGAATTCTCACCTTCCCTGCAGGAGACCCAGGTTCAATTCTAGGCCAATGCACCCCCCGCACAGCCATCACTCATCTGTCAATGGAAGCTTGCATGTCGCTGTGACGCTGAACAAGTTTCAGGTGGAGCTTCCAGACAAAGACAGGCTAGCAAGAAAGGCCTGACAAACTCCTTCCGAAAATCAGCCAATGAAAACCCTATATGGATCACAACGGTCCAATCTGCAGCTGGTCACGGGGATGGCTCAGGACCTGGCAGTGTTTCGTTCCATCATGCATGGGCTCGCCATGAGTCGACCTGATGGCAGCTAACAACAACCAGGGGTTAGCAAACTATACTCTGCAGGCCAAATCTGGCCTTCTGCCTGTTTTTGTATAGTCCATGAGCTATGAATGGTTTTTACATTTTTAAATGGTTGTATAAATACCCACATAATATCCTCAATTTTGCTTCTTGCTTCCCAAAGCCAAAAATATTTACTATCTGGCCCTTTATAGAAAAAGTCTGCCAACCCCTGCTTTAGAAATTTCTGGAGGACACACCCCCATGATTTAAACTTTGGCCACCAAATCAATGACTCCTCTCCAGTTTCCTCAGAGACCAATTGCATTTTCTAGACATTTCTGCCTGAGGTTGGTTCAAAATAAATGACTCTAGTTCTAATTTCTCACAATCAGACACACACCTCTTGAGCTGAGAAGCAGGCAGTCAGGGCGGAAGCTCAGGGTTGACTGGTTTAACCAGTTATTACTGGACAGGAACTGATAGTTCAAATTTTCAAGCCCTTGCTCTTTCCAATGTTTGCAGTGGAAGATTCCGCTGAAAAAACTTCGCTAAACTCTCCTGCGCTAACTTAAGTGCACAGCAGCCACAAATGCCTTTTTAGTCATCAGAACCCACAGCTTCCACCAACAGGTGACTTTATTTTTATATCCCTGAATAAACTAGCCATGGCCCTCCCTCATCAAAATAAATAATCCTTCCCGTTCCCAAGCAGTCCCTGCAGCCACATGCCTAGCTATTCGGGTCAACACACCAAGGAGACCTACTCCAGTTCAAGCTGGCGGAAGGCAGGGGCAGCCTTGCTGGGCCTGAAGCCCCCCACCAGCTGGGCCCCTGCTGGTCCTTCTTGCAGGCAAAGGAAACAGGGCCTTTCAGGGCTTCCCTCTGCCCTGGGATCACTTCCAGGCGAGAGCAGCAGTTTAAGGGAAACAGACAAATGCCACCAGTGCACCCGGCAGCCCACTCCAGCTCAAGGACCAAGATATGCAGTCTCAACTGTTGGAAGCAGGGCTGAGCTGCCCCCACGGGGCTAGGGCTACTGCTAAACTGCCTCCTGACTGCTCTCCCATGTCTGCTCTGTGCCCTCCTTCCCAGTCTACTCTCCCCAAAGCAATCACAGTGATTGTTCCAAAATGTAAAACCCCAACTGCTTGCTTAAACATTTCATTTGCTTCTTCTTTCATTTATGATAGAGACAAAAATCTTTGATCTGCCTGCAGGGCACTGCAGGATGTGGCCCCTGATGACACGTCAGCCTGACCTGCTACCTTTCTACTCCCAGCTCTCACTGCTCCAGCAATCCCGGCCTCTCTGGTCCTCCAGCCACCGGCCCCTTGTACATGCTGTTCCCACTGTCCTCCTTCTCTTTCATCCAGTAAATGCCCACCATTCCTTCAAATCTCAGAAATCATCGTCCTAACCCAGGGAAGCCTCTGATGCATTGCAGGCAGTAACAGCACCATCTCCGTCTCCTCCTGAGCACTCGGCAGTCACGCTCTACCATTCAGTTGAGGAATTATTTGACTAGTACATCTTCTCCACGAAGCTGTGAGCTCCATGACATGAGGGGTCCTTTCAGTCTTCACTCACAACTGCAGCCCCAGTGCTAGGTACTCTGTGGATATTGATCAGTAAAAGAACGCAGATTGGTAGGAGGGGGTGGAGTGGATAATAAGCTTGCACCTGCCTCCCAGCAAGCTTGGGTCTCTGTCTGGGATCTGAACTAAGCATGCTGCTGTTAGGTGCCACCAAGTTGATTTTGACTCATAGCGACCCCATGTGACAGAGTAGAACTGCCCGCTGGGGTTTTCTAGGTTGTAATCCTTAGGGAAGCAGATTGCCAGGTCTTTCTCCTGTGAAGCCGCTGGGTGGGTTTGAACTTTGTGGTTAGTAGCTGAGCACTTAACCGTTGAACCACTAATCAATAAGTGGTTTGTATATTTCTCCTTTGTATGGATTTTTCATAGTGGGGGTTGCAATCCAGGGGCTTTTGGGCTGCATCTGGCCCACAGACATGTTTTGGTCTATACAGTTTCTACAATGTACGAAATTCATACAGATTTGGTCTTACTCTAGAGAAATGGGAGATAGGGCAGCATGGGTCTGGCATTCCTGAATGGCAGCCACAGAATGGAGCTGAGCAGTGGCTGGCCACCTCCAACGGACAGGCACCTCCTCCTTGGTCGGCCACAGTCCCATCATTCCCCCTTGGCTTCACTCGTTTGAGTCACCTGCCTGGCTTCCTTTCCAGAAAGGAAGGGATCTGTTATGGATTCCCCAAGTTGTTATGCTGAAGTCCTAACCCCGGTGCCTGCGAAAGGGACCTTGTTTGGGAAAAGGGTCTTTAAAGATGTTATTAGTTAAATGAACACGAGGTCATACTGGAGTAGGGTATGTTCTAATCTAATCTGAGTGGCGTCCTTATAAAAGGCGAGTGGAGAAGTGACACAAAGAGGCTGACAGAGGGAAAGCGGCCATGTGACAATGGAGTTATGCTACAGCTGCAAGCCAGCAAACACCTGGGGCTACCAGAAGCCAGAAGAGACCAGAAAGGATCTTCCCCTAGAGCCTACAGAGAGAACATGGCCCTACCAACACCTGATTCAGACCACAAGTCTCCAGAACCGTGAGATGATACATTTCTGTTATTTAAAGCCACACACTTTGTGGTGTTTTTGGTACAGCAGCTTAGGAAACTGACACAGCGTCTGAGTCTGTAAATCCTAATCTCTCCTGCCACTAAGTGTTCCTTTCCCCTTGTGTTCCTGATTGAGCAATCTGATGTCTTTCCTTCTTCCTCTGTTCTTGTGGTCAGGGCTGGGTCTCATGCATGGCCCTGGCCATCCACAAACTCTGAGCAGCACAAACACTGGGTGCTCCACCATGGGTGCTTTCTCCAGAGATCTCAGAGATCTCGTTAAAGTCCTACAATAGCCTTTGTGTCCACACCCATTTTACAGACAAGAAAATTGAGGCACAGGAGAACAGGGTGTGACCTGGTTCTCAGAAGCCAGATCTTTGCCTCCAGACTCTGGCTTCGGTCATTCATTCATTCAAAAGACACTTATCAAGCGCCCACTATGTGCCAAGCCCTAATCTAAGGGGCTGGGGACACAGTAGAGAACAATGCAGACAAAAACTCCTGTCCCCATGGAGGTTATATTTAGGGGGTGGGGGGTGGGGGGACAGAGAGGATAGACATGAAATTAAATAAACAGATTAGGTGATGGGTTAGAAGGCAGAGAGTGCTACTAAAAAAGGAAAGCGGGAAGAGGGAGAAGTTGGCTGGGGGTGTTGGGATCTTACGTAGTGGCCAGCAAAGACCTTGCAGAGAAGGTGACAATGAGTAAAGACTCAAAGGATGTGAGGAGCAAGCCACATGGACTTTGAGAGGGTAGGGGACCTCCTAGGCAGGGGGAGCGTGTGCACGGGCTCTGTGGTGGGAGGTGCCTGGTTTAGTGGAAGAATAGCGAGGACACCACCCTTAGACCTGCTGCGTCATTCCCAAGTTCAGTTGCTGCCTGTTCCCTACTCTGGTGACAACTCTGTGGGGATCTGGGCTTTTCTCGAGTTTATGATACAGAATTTTTTAAATCAGTGAGAAAAACTCTTTTTCTGCTGTTATTTCAACAATGTTGGGCTGCCTGGCTCCAAACCCGCACAAACAAGTCCCTACCAACCCCACTCTATGGCTATAAGAAGCAGAGTTAACTAGAGGGACAGAACTATGGGGAAACCCCTAGGGTTTTCTGGAAATCCCCTCTTTTTTTTTAAACATCAGGCCTCCTAAGATAGCCCATAGTGCATGTCACCTTAAATAGGCAATGTGATACAAACCAATGGGAAGCAGGGTAGGTGAAATAACAGGAGAAATAAGGTTACCAAAGAAGAGTCTAAGAAGCGTGGGTAGGAATACAAAGAGGTAACTCCACTCCTTCGCTTGGGGGACAGGGAGTTTGCAGATGGTGGTAGGGAGGTGTGTATATAGGGTCCTGACTTGAGCCCCTGCCACTTCTTGCTCTTCTGTGTCTTTTCTTGAGGCACTGACCCATTGCCAGCTCCAAGCATATACACTCTTCTTAAAAACATCCATTGGTTCACCAGCTTCTCAGGCCCCAGTTCAAGTCCCCAGTGAAGCACCTGAGACTCTTCATGAGTCCACCTCATCCACGCCCCCGATCTCATCTCCTGCTCTTCCCCCACTATACCTGTCAAGAAAAATTGTAGCTGACTTTGAAATGGGCAAAAAAGATTACTGGGTGTCCTTTGCATGGAATGTGGACAGTTGACTAGCATACTCAGGTTATCTGATTCTTTTGGGGTCTGCACCTTTCATTTCTTAGACTGAGCTATCTTACAACTATGGAAATTGCAGAAAACTGATAGTAATGCAAATGATTCCTGTTCATAGAGATGCAAGTGTATTTTATGGGTAGCAATACAATTGATTTCCTGCCCCTGATGAAAGAGGCCAGTTCTACATTTATTAGCTAATTCATTTCAGCATTCCTCATTGCCTATATATGTGCATGCTCCTTGGGTTCTCCTTTGAATTGGTTTTTACCTCTTGGTGCATTAATTAACGAGTTAAAGAAAATCTTTGATATATATTCTTTTTATATTTGCATGAAGGTCATGATTTTACTTTTAAAAAAATTATCCTTTGCTATGTCCTAAAACTGTAGCCACTCTAAGCATCTTCAGGTTCTTCAAAACAGTCTTTCTTTTTGACTTTTGCCCTTGCTGCTTCTTCTATGGAGAGTCCCAAACTCCTTTTTCTCCATCTTCAATACCCAATTCAAATATCACCTCCTCTGTGCAGCTTCCCTCTGCAGAATTACTAATTGCTCACATAGCAGTTTTTCTACCATCTATTCCAGCATGGGTCCTATTGTATTTAAGTTATTTTTTATAGGTCTGTTTTTACCATTAGACAGACCTTGGTCTCTGCCACAACATGGACTATGTCCACTTCACCTTTGGGACCCTGTGTCTAGCATGCTGTCTGGGAAAGCGGGACTCTAGCAATTCATGTGGAAAGGAACACTGAAATACTGGCCGTAAGTATGACTCCTTCAGTGTTTTATGGAGTTGAGAACTGGGCCCATTATTTGGACTCAATAGTTATCACCAACTCCTGGGTCAGGGTGTCTAGAAGATACACATGGAGGATTGTGAAAATTAGGGTCTCTATGCAGACCCCTGCCCCAACTTCCATTATCCCACCCCTACTTAAATGTAAGAGACTCTGGCAAGAAGGAAGTGTAAACCAAGTTAGAATATAAACCTTGTACCCAGTGTCATTCTCATGATCCACAGTGTGAACTGAAGTAACACAACAAGTTGCAAAGTCCTTTCAGATGCCTGGATGAAAGAGTCTAGCTAATTGCGGTGCATTTTTACTAATGCGGAAGTAAAACACTGTGGGCAGTTGACTATGTCTAGAGAAACACACCAAGCCCTGGGCATCCAGTATAATTCAGTGGGTGGTAGCTGCTTCTCTTACCACCTCTCTTTGAAGCCCCAGGATTGGTAGATGCTTTTGGCAGGAGAGAGGACTGAGTAGACCAAAGATCTAATCTCCCTTGGCACACTCTGTGGGTGCAAACACTTCAGGGCCACTCCACCTTGCACAAACAAGACCACAGAAGCCTCTGTGTCAAGTCCCACCCTATCTTCCAGTAAAGGTAGGAGGGTGCAGTGGGATTCGGTGCCAAATGGCCTGGGTGTAATCTCAGTTCTACCATTTTCTGACCATGTGTCCTTGAGCAAATAACTTAGGCTATCTGTGCCTCAGTTTCCTCATCTGGAATAATGCTGTGAGAATTAAATGACTTCACTGAGATAAAGTGTTTAGCACAGTACCTGGCAAATAGTAAGCATTCAATAAATATCTGTTCATCATCCTCCTTATATTATTATTATTACTATTTTTCTCCCTGGCTGAGCCCTGGCAGCACAGTGGTTAAAGCACTTGGCTGCTAACCAAAAGGTCTGCAGTTCAAACCCACCAGCCACTCTGCAGGAGAAAGATGTGGCAGTCTGCTTCCATAAAGATTACAGCCTTGGAAACCCTATGGGCCGGTTCTACTCTGTCCTATAGGGTAACTATGAGTCAGAATCGACTCAGTGACAACAGGTTTGGTTTTTTTGTTCGTTTTATTATTCTCCTTTGGGAACTGCCTCACCTTACCTAGGGAAGAGATTGTATCATTACCTCATTCTCTGCCATTTTGCTTTCTTTTCTATCATCAGCTCCTTCTTGGTCTCTATCAGATCTCTTGGTTTTATTTTTCTCACTCTGCTTGGCCTTGGCCCTCTCAGGGGCCCTTGTGACCTTTGGCTCCAGCCCGTCTTCCTTGCCTGAGTCTTCAGGGTGAGGGTGTCTGCTCTCCCGCAGCCTGGACTCATCCTTCCTCCTGGACCTCCCGGGAGCATCCTGCTGCTGCTTTAGGTACTTGTCCAACTTGGCTTTGGGCTCTTTCCAGTAGTAGCCATCTTCCCGGCTTTTGTAGCTGGACACAGTGTGGGGCAGACTGGGAGACCCAGACCTCAGGTACTTTTCTCGGTGGCCCCTTCCTCCTTCGAGTCGCTCATCTAACTCAGCTTTGTCCAGTTGCCGGGGGTAGTGTTTGCGATCATGCACCCACATGTCTGTTCGGTCCCTCTTGTCCTCCCCGTTCTCCCTCCAGGGGGCTGGGTCTCGCTCTTCCTCCCTCCTGGCATAGGGAGAGTGCTCCCACGAGTCCCTGCCATTGCCCCAGTCGGCCCTGGAGGGGCCTGGAGGACTGTGGGAAGAGCTGCAGGAGGTGAAGCTTGGAGTGTGAGACCTCGGGGAGAGCGAGCGGCTCACCGGACTGCGGGACCGTGGCCTTTCTGGGCCATATCTGTGAGGGAACAAAGAAGCTGGCTTTAGAATCTGTTCACATACCCACTCGACATACACACAGATACATATAGTCTCACGCATAGGTATACTGTGCACATAACACTCTTAGGTCATACACCCATCACTCATAACTGTACAGAACCACAGAAAGCCTTTTCCTCCATCCTGGTTTCTATAAGGAGTCCCTAGGTGGTGCAAATAGTTCACATGCTTGGCTGCTAACTGAAAGTTTAGAGGTTCAAGTCTACCTACAGGTACCTCAGAAGAAAGGCCTGGCTATCTACCTCCAAAAAACTAGCCATTGAAAACCCTACGAAGCACAGTTCTACTCTGACACACGTAGAGTATCCATGAACTGGAACTGACTCGATGGCAACTTGGTTGGTTTGGGCTGGTTTCTGTGAGAAATGGCTTTCCCTAAGCACAGCCCTGACTGCTTTCTGCCCATTTATTTCTTCCACTCATGGGAATTGGGAGGAATCATTGGATTGGTTTGGCTCAGTGTCATCTTTCTTCCTCTTGGAAGTGAGCTATACTCGGAGAGCAGGACTCTCCTCTGGGGCATCTGAAGTGAGATAGTGGGGCGAGGCTTGCCCTGGTCTGCCTGGAGGGTAAGGCTGACTAACCCCGACGTTCAATTAGCCAGCCTCTTTGTTCTAAGACTTGAAGCCACTCCTCCACCTGGCCCTGCTGGTGTCTCAGATGAAGAAACTGCAATCCAGAAAAGGACTCCGACCTGCCCAAGGTTCTAAGCAAGACCTCCTAGTCCCTGCTCCACTCTGCCACAGAACTGCAGTTGAACAGTGTAGCTTAATGCACGTCTTAAAAAAAACCCCAAACACACAAAAATCCCAACCTCAATGGTTACATACCAAGATATTTATAGATACACACTGTGAAGGCTGTTTGCTCATTAAGCAAGTCAACTGAGTCATATTCCTGATATTCAAAAGGACAGGCATTTTTCATTTGGTTCCCAAATATAAGGAAACCATGTAGCCCTCACCAGTCTGGGGCCGCCAGGACGTGGCCCATGAAGACCAGGCTGCACAGACCATCATGGAGGACACATCCTAGGCTCATGCCCTCTACAGTGAGGTTAGAGCACCATCTGTGGCAGCCCTGGGAAACAACCACAGAATGTGCCAGCCAGTGCCCACGCCTGCTGTTTTCCACCTTGAATCTCCACAGGGACCATCTTTGTGGGGGAGTGCTGTGGTAAACTTGTAGCCTCAACTTGGAACGGACACAAACTTAAGTTGGAAGAAATGGGTTGGAATACTGAATGCATTCAATGTTCAGAGTAAATGACCAGTCAAGTAACTGCTTTTTTTGGACCATCTACATTTCTGTTCCTACATCTGCATGAAAAATCAAGAGCTGGCTCGAAGCAGAACACAAATACACACATATATATATACACACACACACACACTCTGTCACTCACACACACTTCCTGGCTGTTTGGGAGAGTGTAGACTTGATCCCAAAGGGACAAATGTTAACAGAACCCCTCCTGCATTCCTTTCCAGAAAAGGAGAAGCAGCTGAGAAGAAGCCCAGCATCTTGCATCTTTCTGAGGTTTAACCTGAGCAGAACTTCTGAACTGGACTGCTCAGAAAAGCAGATGGATAAGGCAGGGCAGGGCAGGGCTTGACTCAAATACACCTAAGAAGGAGAAAGAGGAGTGTTTTCCAACTGCCCAGAATCTTCCCTGAGACCTAGGGCCGGGGCCTCACCTGTCTGCTTCCCAGAACATGTCCCTCTCCCTCTGGGAATGGATGTCCTGGATGATGGCGGCCACAGTTTTCCCCGGTTTCTAGACAAAGTCAGAGAGACCACCATCAGAAGGAGGGAGGTAGTGACGGAGGGGTGAGGGAAGAAGGGAGGCATTTAAAACTTAGAAGGAAGTTTGAAGACCATGGACTGTAGCCTCCACATTTTACACATCTGGAAACTGAGACCCAGAGAGGTTGAGGCAGAGTCTCTGCCTTGCCCAACTCCAGAGACACCAGCGACATTGTGTTCTAAGTAGATAGTGACTCCTGAGTTGTGCTGGGTTAAGGGACACGTTCAAGGTCATACCTGGAGCCCTGGTTGCACAGTGGTTAAGAGCTCGGCTGCTAACCAAAAGGTTGGCAGTCCGAATCCACCAGCCGCTCCTTGGAAACCCTATGGGGCAGTTCTACTCTGTCCTATAGGGTCTCTATAAGTCAGAACTCAACAACAGAAATTTTAATTCCAAGATCCTTTCCATGCCCCATGCCCCTTTCAACATCTTACTCTGGTGTGTTCATCCAGGGGGGTCATTTGATGCTCAAAGAAAATCTGTTATGTAGGCAGAGTAGGCACCAGGATCCATGTTTCACAGCTGAGAATATAAGGTGCCCAAAGGCTCTACTCATGCCATAGGTCACTAAATGGTGGTTGTGCTGGGACAGGACCAATTCCAGCCCCTAAATCCCAACCAAAGCCCTTTCCTAAAGCCAGAATGGGCAAACAATAACAAAATAATGGAAAACAACAAATGATTTTTTAAAAAATAAATTCACAAGCACAAAAGAAAAGCCAAGAGCATTTCCCAAAGACTACACAGAATTCATCAACTTAATAAGAATGTAACAGCAGGGTGAATTTTATGGTATGTGAATTATATCTCGATAAAGCTATTATTTTTTTAAAAAAAGGACTAAAAAAATCTTATTCTGTAATGTGAACTTTTGATAGTTTTATTAAGAAATTTAATCAACTGCCTTTTTTATCCTTGATCTTTTTTTCCAAAAAGTTGACAAAGAATCATAAAATCTTGAAGAGCTATACAAACTTTAGGTATCATCAGGTATCATCATACAGGCAGGAAGACAAGGACCAGAGACATGAAGTGAGCTTGCTGGGACCAGAATTCTCTGAGTGCTCTAAATGGCATGGCTGCTTGCCTGTGTGATGGTTAAGATCGAAGGTTGGGCTGGCAAAACCACTAAGCAAAGGAGAGATGAAGGAAGAGCTGCCTGTGGTTTCAAGGTAAGAGGTCAGGCCTAGGACATAGGGAAGGTATATAAAATGCTTAACACAGGGAGAGATCTCTCGTCTAGTTCTCAAGATGCCAAAAAACAGCCAAAGAGAAGACGGCAGCCCCTATCCGCTGTGGCTGTGAGAAAGTAGGAATTCAGGAAGCCAGTAAATTCTGTAAAGGCCTAGGAACTGGTCAGGATGTTCACCCTAACAAAGCCCTTACTGCTTTGGCAAATGGCCTCTTACATATGAATATAGCTATAAAGGTTGATCCCCTGTAAGTGTACGAAAGTGCCACCTGCGACTAACCAGCTCACCTAGGCCTTGTACAGACAGAGCTCCGGAGAGCTGGTGGGCACCATGAGGACCAAGTACAAAGACCATAATCTGTCGTCACCATCACTAGGGAGGCCAAATGCTGGGTGCCAAATCCATGGATCCCATTGCCAAGCTGGAAAAGACAAAGGCTAAAGAATGTGCCACCAAAGAGGGTTAAATTCACCATGGCAACTTTTCAGAACAGAAAAATAAAAATTCTCCAAGGAGTTTGGATGGGGGGACTTTCTGTAGTACAAAGAGTCCCCAGAGTCTCAAACTGTTTTCTTCTACTCCTCTGGAAGCTGAAATTTTCCTGACCATTCCTTCCAGCCCAGACCCAGGAAAGCCTGGGGTAAGAGGAGTGTGGCCTTGTCAGAAAGGAGCTGAGGCTCTGCAGATTACTGAGGGGCAGCCGGGATGGGGGTGGGGTGGGGGTTGAGACCAGCAGGGCTGGGGCAAGTCAGGCCATGGTGAGGGTCAGAGGCATTCCAGGAGCTTGAGGTCCCTTAGCACCATGCTCATCACTGACAGTACTTCACTCCCTGTCCCATGTCCTCCCCCTCTGCTGAAGGCTGAGCTGGCCTTCAGGTACCACTGATAAAAACATCCTCTAGTGGCCACTGGAATGCCCTGAGCAGGGGCCCATGCAGTCCCCCAGATCCAAGAGGCTTATTTAGAGGGACTCTCTGGGGACCAGAAGAGCCTCTTCTTGGCTTAAACATTCCCTGCCCCTTATTTTCCCCAACATAGAATATCTTCCTGGGGCCACATTCAGCCCAGGGCCCTCTGGAGTTACTTATATTCAGGCCACAGGTCCCCAGAGAGCCAGGGCCCCGGGTTGCTCATCTTCACACAGCACCAGCACAGAGCCTTGCATGGACCAGGTGCTCCATGATACCGGTTCCAAGATGGAAGGCTGGATGGATGGGAGGATGGTGCTACAGAGATTGCTATCAAATGAGGAGCACAGTCAACAAATAGCTACACACTGGGGCTGCTCATCACTGGCATTATGACCCCTTCTGAGGATCAGAGGGCCAGTTCCTCTGTTTTAAGTGATTGTTGAAAAGGGTTTAGCACTCTCTGGACCAAACACCCTGCCAGCAGGCATCTGAGAAGGGGAGAGACATGGCTAAAGGTTTTCAGATAACAGAAATGAATTCTCAGAGACCCAAGAAAATCCCCTTAACCTTTCTCTTTGGGTCCAGTCTCTGCATCCTGTGGTTAAAGGTGTAAAGGAGACAAGTTAAATGCAGCTGTGCTCACCTGAGAAAAATGGAAATAAGGGAGGTCTATGATGACATTTGGGGTAGAAAATTTCAAACACAGACAAAAGTCAAGAGAATGGTATATTGAACCCCAATGAATCCATTACCCATCTTCAAAATTCTGAGCAAGCTTGTTTCATCTAACTCCCTATCCTCTTTCCCTGCCCCCTAAATCATGATATCTTTTCATCCATTCATGATAACACTGACGCGGCTCAACAACTCACAGGGGACCATCCACTTGGGTGAGATCCCAAGTCCCCTGCAGTCCTAGGGAAGGGCTGACATGCACCAAAGTGGGCACCACGATTTGAGAATCTCAACCCAGAAAGAACAGCCCCAGCACGGGCCCCCAGTGGGCTGGGTCACCAGAGGTCAAGGCTCTTTGCCTGTGGGGGACTCACATTCATCACCTATAAAGGTGGGATAATGAGGCCCATCTGGCATCCACCAATAGCTTCAGGGCATGGCAGGCTACACTGATAAGTCAACATGAAAGGAACTGCTAGAGAGTTCAATGTCCTCTGAGGGCTCTGCAGCTGTTTTACATACCTCAAGAGTCCTGGGCTGATGCTGAAACCTTTCAGATGAGCCCTGAATTCATCAGAGCCCGAGCCTGTCAAAGAAGCCCTGATTGTTTTCAACATTACTATGTTTTCCAGCTTCAACGCTGCTTCTCACCTGATTCCTTCTGCCTGAAAGCCCCTTCTCTGTTTAAGTAAATTCCCCTTACCCTTTAAGGTCCTGCTCAGTAGTCTCTCCCTTCCTCACGCTCGTTAAGTCACAATGCCTTCTGTTACTCAGCTTCTACGGTAGCTTCTGAACTTATGCATTCATGTTTAAATCTTGTATAACTTTGCAAAAGAATAGTTTGCCTATCCAGTTAAATTGCAAACTCCCAAATAAGGACCATATCTTACATGCATCAACACTTTTAGCACAACCACTTACCCAGAGAAGTCCTTCAATCATCATTTGCTGATTTAATTTTTACCAACTGAGGGTATCATGGACCACTCACAACATCGCTTCCCAGGGGCTCTCTTTGTGGCTAGAAGGCTGGGCTGTGATTCAGAAATCAGACCCTCTGCCCCTAGAACTGCCTGGAAGCTATCTTAGCTCCAGCTCAAAATACTGAATTTGAGAATCTCAGGGCCAGGGAACCTGAAGACTCCCTCTGATGATTCTCTGATGTAGTGACTGGAAAATACTGGTTTAAATTACTCCAAGTTCCCTTCTGCAGCTAAGATGCTATGATGTTGTACTCAGTGGAAAAGTCTTTATAGAACAACCCAGAAAAGAGTCTGATATTCTTGTCCAGGTCTGCAAGAAGGAAAACAGCCTAAGATCTTGAGAAGCTTGAGTGCTATAGCCGACACCCCTGTGGCTCTACTGGGGGGGATCTCGTGGGCAGAGCTCTTGCCACCTAGCCAGACCCACGAGGGTATGAGGCAGAAGGGTTATCACTCCCGGGCCTTTATCTGTGCTCTCTCTCTCAAGGCAGGAACATCACTTCCCAACATGAGGCTCTGCACTGAGCCAAAAGCATGCAGGTGTCCCACTGTTTCACATGATGAAACTCCTATCTCTAGGAAACTTTCACAAGGGTAGTTCAGAAAGCAGGCAATGGAAGGAAGCCAAACCCCTGCCCCACATAAGAAGACTCACCATCCTATCCAGTGGGCCCTGAAGTTTGACATAAGCATATTCAAAATATTCAACCACCAGAACCACACGGGCCTGACGAATGCAGGGTACTAGGGACACATGGCCCTCATTGTGCCTGCTGTCTACCCTTTAGTTGCTGGATTGTGGGAAAGCCTGGGGCCTGGGGAGGGAATAAGGAAGGATGTAGGAGAAGAGCACTCAGGGACTTGGGCCAGTGACTCTTTACCAACCAATACTGAAGTGTTTGGATATTTTAACAACCAGGAGGGTCATGCTGGTACATGTTGTTATTGTTGTTAGCTGCTGTTCAGGCACTCCCTCCCTCCAACTCATGGCAACCCCTCCACAACGAATGAAATGCTGCTTTGTCCTGCGCCATCCCTATGATCAGTTGGGGATTGGACTGTTGTAATCCACAGGGTTTTCACTGGCTGTTTTTCAGAAGTGGATCACCAGGCATGTCTTCCTAGCCTAGTCTGGAAGCTCCACTGAAATCTGTTCAGCATCACAGCAACACACAAGTCTCCACTGCGCATGAGGTGCGTTGGCCGGGAATTGAACCTGCATATTAGCCCTGGTGAACACACAGTAGGTTCTCAAGACATGCTTATTACTCAGGAAAACCACACTAGGGCAGAGGAAGCGGTGACATTTTGTTGTTGTTGTCAGTTGCCGTGGAGTCGATTCTGACTCACGGCAATCCCACGTATGTCAGAGCAGAATTGCTCCGTAGGGTTTTCATGGCTCTGACCTTTTGGAAGCAGATTGCCAGTCCTGTCTTCCAAGGTGCCATTGGGTGGGTTCAAACTGCCAACCTTTTGGCTAGTAGTTGGAGCACTTAACTATTTGTGATGTGGAAGGCTATTAATATGTGGAAGGCCCCACCCCAAATACCCTGAGGAACATTACCCACCCACCCCTGCCCCCGCCAAAAAAAATAATGTAGTGGGAGATAAGATAGTGAGCATGACAAAATATCACTTAAGAGACGAGATGAGAAATGCCTTAAAATGTCAACTTTCTCTCCCTCCACTTTGTCGGGTGGGCAAAAGGTAAAGTTAGAGAAAGACCAATCACCTCTGCATGTCCTGCACCAATCATCATAACTTATGTGGTGGCCACTGGGTTCAGGGACCTGCCCAGCAGCCATTCTCTTTTCTCCTGGTGGAAGTGCTCTTCCTCCTCTCACTCCAGGGGTCTGGGTGGGCCTCCACCCCTGGCTCCCAGGATGAAGCAGGGGAGACAGGCCTGGCCAATTACAGCATGCTCCCCCCGCCACCCCCACCAACGACCACAGGGATTGGTTCAGAGATGGGCATATTTCCTAAGCTAGTCTGGTCAGAGTGACTCAGGACTTTGGTGGGAGCAACCAGGAAAGACTATGGTGCTCCCTTGTTGAAGGAAATGGGAGTATAAGAATCCAGAGCTGTTGATGCCACTGAGTCCACTGGGACACCTAGAAGAGCAAGCCTGGGGCTGCCAAGGGCTGTTCCAGGGAGCTCCACAAAAGCTAACCAAGCAGAAGGTAGAATGGTGACCAAGTCCTAATGTTATCATAGAAGCTCTGGCGGCGTAGAGCTCAGCTGCTAACCAAAAGGTCGGCAGTTCAAATCCACCAGCCACTCCTTGGAAACCCTATGAGGCAGTTCTACTCTGTCCTATAGGGTCTCTATGAGTCGGAATTGACTCAATGGAACCTAACAACAACAGTGATATCATTTGGTCCCTGACTCAAGCTGTACTCGCAGCTAGGACTACTCCTGGACTTTGTATTTACATGAACCAATAAATCCCTTTTTTGGCTTAAGCCAACACGCTTAATTGAGATGAATTTCTGTTACTTGCAGAGATAGTCCTGGCTGATTCACTTCAACATAGGGACCATAATGCATGCATTCCTATGTAGTTGAAACATGTTCTATGATGCTTTCACATATGTTATCCCATGTGACCTTCACAACGACCCTGAGAGGCAGTGTGACAGCCTGGGGAGCAGAAAAGCCTTAGTAAAGGTTACAACAATGTGTTCTAGACCCTTGCGACTCAAAGTGTGTTTAAAGATTGACAACATCAGCAGCTCCTGGGAGCTTTTCAGAAACGCAGAATCACAGCCCTGTCCCTGCATTTTAGCAAGACCCCCAAGGGATTTATATGCACATTCAAATTTGAATAGCACTGTTAGAATACTATCTCTGCGGCTTACTGGCTGGGTGACCTTAAGAAAGTTACTCATTTCTTTTGACTTTTCATTTAGACAATGGAGATCATAATAACACAATATCGAGATGAAGATACAGTGAAGACCAAAACAGTCTTAGGTTTTAATCATGGCTCTTCTATGATCTTGGGCAAGGAACGTCTTCCATTAGCCTCAGTTTCCTCATCCATAAAACTGAGATAATAAAACCTGTCTGACAGATCTGATGTCAGGATTAAAGTAGATAATGTATGTAAAGTGCGTGGCACACTACTTGATTCAGTGTACCAGGATGCAACTAAATGTACATATCACTGTTATTACTGCTGTACCATTATAATTACTGTAATTACCTACCCTACCAATCTGTTTCTGTAAAGATTACAGCCTTAAAACCCGATGGGCAGCTAGTTCTACCCTGTCCTATAGGGTCACTATGAGTCGGAATGGACTCGACGCAGTGGGTTGGGTTTGGTCTACCCTACACACACACACTTCATAGGGGAGCGTGATTATGAGACTCAGAAGAGACACTACATGCAAAACATGCTTAAAACCAAAAGTTTTAGGTTCAAGTAAATCTTCACCAATCTAAAAACTGAGGTTCACAAGACGTGAAGCAACTTGTCCAAGCTCATCAAAGCAGGAAGGGGTGCAGCCTAGACTGGCACCAATACCTTCCAATCTGGCATAGATCATATGGTTGTTGATGGTTTTAGGTTTAAACGCTTTCCTCCCCCACCAGACTGTGAGCTCCTCTGCAAGCTTGCCATCTCCATATTCAAGACACCCAGCCCAGTTCCTGCCCATAGTGGGCACTCAATAAAAACCTGCTGAGTGCAAACCTTGACCATCTGACCTCTTTAAACTATGGTTTTTGCACCACCCCAAAATATCTCCCTTAGTCAGATATTACAGTGTCTTGGTACTTTCATTGAAGAAACTGATCGCTGCTATTAATCCCAATTAGAAACTTATGACAACATCTCATTTGAGACAAAAGCTCCACTGGGAGCTCATTGCAGAAATTCAGTTCTGTCCCTCAGGGGAGAGTCCAGGAGAACAAGACCTTTGGCTGTGTACAGAACAGGGTGGGATCTTTTACTTGTCTGAGTAAAGTAATGTGCTCTTACTAGTCAGGAAAAAAAGAAAAAAAGTCACTTTCTGCCTGAAGCAGAACCGTTGGCAAAGGCACTTCAGAAGCAATAATGCAAGCAAAGCAGAATAAGGATGTTGGCAACTGGTTGACATATTACGGATCCACATATGTAGACTTGTCAGAATGCTAGTCCTAGCTAGAAATAACTACTGTGCTTTTGTCTCTGATCTTTAAGGCAAATCAAACGCTATGGATCTTGAACAAAATGAACTCTGAGTAAATGTGGAATGAGCTGAAGTGAACTGGAAAATCTGTTAAGTGACAGGGTAGACAGCACAAAATAAGATGGTAAGTTTAAACACAAATATGTCATTAATTATAATAAATCCAAGTGGACTAAATACTCCAGTGAAGAGAATTCCTACAAACCAATAAGAAGATACAATAAAAAAAAAGGGGGGGGGGGCAGATGACTTGAAAAGAAACTTCCCACAAGAGAAGATCCAGATGGAATACCCGATAAACATATTAAAAAGTTTTCAACCTCAACTGGTAATCAGGAAAATACAAAATTAAACCATGATATACCACTACACTCTCCCCAGATAAGAAAAAATTCAAAAAGTTGGACAAGATAAAATGTTAGCAAGAATGTGGACCTTTGGAAACTCTCATACACTACTAGCAGAAGTATATATTTGGGACAACAATTTTTGAAACGGTCTTGCTATTATCTAGTAAAGTTGAGGGTAAACATGCCCTATGACCCAGCAATTCCACTCTTAGCTACATACCCTTCGTTTTATGCTGATGCACATCTGTATCATGGTAACATTTTTAAGGATGTTCATAGTAGTATTGTCCCTAATATCCAAAAACTGGGAACAACCTACATTGTCCATCAACAGTAGAATGGATAAATTGTATAGCCATACAACAGAAATTTATTTAACAACAAAAATAAATAGATACATCCAACAACATAGATTACATGTTGATTGAAAGAAGCCGAGACACAAAAGAACATAAACAGTAAGATTCCATTCATTTAAAGTTCAAAAGCAGGCAAAATTAAACTATAACGTTTCGGGAGCATACATAGGTGGTAGAGCTATCAGGAAAGCAAGGAAATCATTATTCTCCAAGTCAAGAGAGTGGTGACGGAGGGGGTGAGCTTGAGGAGGGGCTTCCGGGCGCTTTGGGGTGCTGCCAGCATTCTACTTCTTGACTTTGGTGGTGGTTTTATCGGATTTCACCCATTATTACTTTTTAAACTGTACATATATATCATTCGTCACTTTTCTGTATGTTATACTTCACAATAAAACAAAAAAGAAAGAAAGGACAAGAAAACAAGTGTAGAGCAACCTAAAATAGAAATAAAAAGCAAACCAAAATAAAAAACCCTGTTTGGAATTATGTGAATTCATCCCTGAAAATCCATGGGTTAATCTGAAAGCAGTCAATTTAGTCATATAATACTTAAAATGACTTCTACTGAACTTAAAACACAAATATGGAGAAAGGAGAGAATAAGAGATTGAGGGTGGTGACAGAGGAAGAAAAAATTAGTGAAGACTTGTATGGGCAGCGAGAGAGGTTGTATTCAGGGACTTATGCCTGGAACTCCCACCACTGAAAAGCAACCACCTTTCCCCTCTTCAGGGGCAGATGAACCAGTAAGCAAGGTACGTACGGGCTTACACTAAGCAAGGTACACATGAGCTTACTTGTGCTTACTAATCAGATTTGGTGAAAAACAGGTGAAATTGTGCACTACAGATTAGTAAGTAAGCACAAGTAAGCCCGCATATACCTTGCTTATTGGGTAATATGTCCCTTACTTCATCCTTCAAGACCCAGCATAGGCATCACTTTCTCTGTAAAATCTTCCTTGGCCCCCAGGTATTTAGTCATCCTGCCTCAAGCATCTCTTTGCATTTTGTACTTCCATCAATGAGCATGTTCCTTACCAGGTTGTAATGGTTTGCCTTCACATGTGAGATCCCCAAAGGCAGTGAGTAATCTCTGAATCTTGCCCTGCCCTCCCTTTCCTGCCAGCACTTAGACCAGTACCTGACAAGTAGGAGACTGTCAGCCGATGCTTGTTGAATGACTAAGTAAACTCGAGAATACTTTACCTTCAGCTGCAATTCCTTGTATCTCTTGGACATCCGAATGAGCAACTTCTCACCATTGATCACAGCAGATTTTTCTTGGTAATACTGGACCATGGCCTGGGCAGCTTCTGTGTAAGCCATCTCTAAAAAGGCCTAGGAAAGAAACGGACATACGGTGGACTTTTGCACTTAATGGTCTCAAACAAAATTCAGAACAAGGTATGACTCCATTTTTATGAAGTTTGGTCAAGAACAGGCAAAATGAATAGATGCTGATAGAAGTCAGAGCTGTGCTTCCCTCTGGGGTGGGGGTGGGGGTGGGGAACTGACCGGGATGGAGCACCGAGGAAACCTTCTGAGTTTCTGGAAATGTTCTGTATCTTGATCTGGGTGGTAATTACGTGGGTGCACACATGTAAAAAATTAATGGCGCTGTCCGCTTAAGATTAGTGCTCGTTATGCACTTTAGAGTATATATTTTATACCTCAATAAAAAGACAAAATTCAGCACAAGGAAGGGCTCTCTTTGATCTCATCTGTTCAAAGAGACCTATTCATTAACTTCACCAAAAGAGCTCATTATAAGATGGCCGTTCTCCTGATCCCCATGGTTACTAGACATTATTTCTTAATTATGTATGTCCATTCCAGGCTACATCACAGCATGGAAGCCCCTCGGGGATGGGATGGGTCCATTAACCCCCAGTTCCCAGGTGTCTGTTGCACACATGGCCCTCGGCTGATGCCTGCAAAGCTCACTGTTTGGTGGTGCCTATGGTGGGAGACAGAATCACAAGCCCTCACTTTCCTTGCAAAGAAAGAAATATACTCCAAAAATCAGGGGCTCACCAATCCCCAGGCTAGAGGGAAGGCTGTGTCCCTGTGAGTTTAGGGAGGAAAACCCCAATTGTTTTCACAGCTATCTTACCTCTCTCTGTATTTAACTGTTCTAATAAAACCTGTAGAATGAAAAGGGCTTTTCCATTCAATCCATGTCTACAAAGAGATCCTAAACAGAGTGTTTTGACAGACCTGTCAGTCTGCCCCAGTAGCTGCTGCGGCAGATTTGTTGCTGTGATTGTTTCTGAGATTTGTTTGGTTTGTATATTCTGACAATGTACCGATTCTGCTCCCTCTGTGGGGAGAGGTTTGTGACAATGGAGCCCTCACAGTAAGCCCCTACTCTCCCAGTTCCCTGAACTGAATATTTCTTGGCAGAATTCGTAAAAGCCTACACAAGCCCATTCTTCCGCCTTCCCTCACATTTTATGTTTGAATTTCAGATGTATTGCCTTTCTCCACGCTGTCAAAGCACAACTGTGCAAGACCAAGAAGTCAAAATTCTCTAGGGTTTTATTTCCAGTTCTGCCACCCAGCATTCTATGTGCTTCTGTCTTGATGCCAACATGTTAGCACCTTTAGCTCTCACCTGTCAAATGGGAATGATATTGATCCAGTGAATCTCACTGCATTAACAGTGCAAGCTGCATTTTGGATATTTACCAAAACAGAATTTCTGAGCCTTAGGAAGAAAGATACTAAGAGTAGTCTATCCCCAGGTGGATGGAGGGAGACTGATGATCTGGTGTGGCTTTGAGTCTCCAAAGTTCATGCCTTAGCTAAGAAAAGAATTTCTCCTATGACTGCTCCTCTGATTCATAAAGTCAAAAATATTGATTAAAAATATAAGATATTCTGATTTGTGACTGTTCACTGTATAAACTCCCCTTTTGACTTTAGAAATGAAAATAAACATATTGAGTCCCCGAAAGCTCAGAGTCGATTCTCATGGGTTAAGGGTTTCTAGTTCCTTAGACCTATCAGACATCCATCAATTCCCATTTATTCTCCTGCTCTGAGACCCAAGGGCCTTAGAGGCTAAGATCAAGAAGCAGTAAAAATACCTTTCCAGCCAGTTCCAAAACCAGGCCACTGGATATGAGAAGCTTGGAAGGTAAGACTGTATAAGTGGTTGGCAATCCAGCAAGAGACTCAAGTCCCTGGATTTCTATTTTGGGGGCCAGTTAGGTTTTCTGTGCACCCAAAGCACCCCTTACCTCTGGGCAATTCACAGAGGGCTGTACCCATCACAAGGGTGAAAGGATAAAGGAGAAACAAAATATCACCACCACCAACAGCAGCACCAATAGGAGGCCAGCTGTGTATCCCCTTTTTACGTTAACAAGAGCTTCCTTAAAAATACATATACATATATAATTGCCCTTCACCAATGTGTGGTCTATCCCAAACATACTAGTGTGAAAGTGCCCAGACCTACCTGATTAGTGGACTTCATGAGGATGTAATTAGTGACCTTCCCAAAGGGCAGCCCCAGGTTAATGACGTCATTCTCAGTGCAGCTTCCTTCCGGGAGATTGCAGATGTGCACCACGCGTCCAGCACCTGCTTTCCGCTGTGCAAACTATTGGGAACAAAGAGCAGTGGGTGGTCTTCCAAAGACATTTTCCTCTTTCCCTCTATTCCAGATATTCCTAGCGGCTATCTTTCCCCAAATAATGATTACAAAGCTGTCATTTATAAAATTAACACAGAAAAAAGAATTCATTCACCACACACATAAAAATAACTGTTTTATGCCACCTCTTTACAAAAAGAATTGACAACATTTTTAATGCACAATACTATCCAGGGCTGTTGAGAACGTGAAGAAATGGTCATGTGTCACATGTTGCTAGGGGAAGGTTGTATACTGACAACCTTTGAGAACACGTTGTTAGCTGCTGTCAAGTCAGCCTCTTGACTCATGATGACCCCATGCACAACCGAACAAAATGCTGCCCAGTCCAGTGTCATCCCCATGATTGGTCGTGGATCAGATTGTTGTGATCCATAGGGTTTTCACTGGCTGATTTTTGGAAGTAATCACCAGGCCTTTCTTCCTTGTCTGTCTGAATCTGGAAGCTCTGCTGAAACCTGTTCAACATCATAGCAATATGCAAGCCTCCACTGACAGACGGGTGGTGGCTGTGTCTGAGGTGCATTGGCCAGGAACGGAACCCCAGTCTCCGGCATGGAAGGCAAGAATTCTACCACTGAACCACCAAAGCCTCTTTGAGAACACACTTCAGCAATATTTAATAAAACTCAGAACACGCATAGGCCATCATCCAGCCATCCCACTTTTAGAAATCAATTCTATAGATATACAAGCACCAATATGTAAAGACTTATATACAACGGCATTTATTGCGATAATCTATGAGGTGGCCAAAAATTCTGGAAAGAGCCTGAATGTCCAACAATAGGGTAATATTTGAGTAAGTGATGATTCAAGCATACAATGGAATACTACACAGCCATTAAAAGGAGGTAAATGTGCTGATACCAAATAATTTTCAAGACACATTTTTAAGTAAAAAAAAGCCTGCCAAGTAGCACATGCAGTATGACACGTTTTGGTGGAAAAAAATATACACGATAATCACTGGAACTGGGTGATGACATACAGGGGTTAATTATACCAGTCTCCCTGCTATTGTGCAGTTTGGAAATGTTCACAGTAAAATACTTTTACAGGCTATCAGCACTAGCGGAGAAAGGTGTGGGAGGACATATCAGCTGGTCAACACTAGTTATCTTCAGAGGGCAGAACTGGGAGGGAGGCAGTGGAGAGAGGCAGTCTTTTCCTTATATACCTGTACATTGCTTGACTTATAATTTTTGTAAAAAATTCCAGTAAAAACACAGAAAGGATTTGTGGGAACCTAATACATACCCAAGGAGGTGACACAGTGGTTAAAGCGCTTGGCTGCCAAACAAAAGGTTGGCAGTTCGAACCCACCAGCCACTCCATGGGAGAAAGATGTGGCAATCTGCTTTAAAGATTACAGCCTTGGAAACCCTGTGGGGCAGTTCTACTCTGTCCTATAGGGTCGCTATGAGTCAGAATCGACTCGATGGCAACAGCTTAATACGTACATGGTTAAGCACTTGGCAGCTAGCTGAAAGGCTAGCAGTTTGAACCTACCCAGTGGTTCCACAGGAGAAGACCTGGTGATCTTCTCCAATAAAGATTACAGCTTAGAAAACCCCATGGGGCAGTTCTACTCTGTCACATGGGGTCGCTATGAGTCAGACTCAACTCAATTGCATCCAACAACAACAAATACATATGCACAGACATTCACAGCAACCACCTGTTGTTTAGGGCAGTGGTTTTCAAAATGTTTTTTGCCTTGGAATCTTTTCTTCAAATAAAATTTTGCTCAATAGCCTGATGTATTCCACAAATAAAACAGGAATTGTTCTGGTTAAACCTTGGGGTCTAGCACTCACCCACATCCCCATGCTCCCCACCTGGCAGCCACAAAGGCACCTCTGAGGATACAGTTTGGAACCCAAGACCTAGGCTATTAGGATCAAAGCTCCGGGAGGGAGGCAGTCTGGTTTGGTCCCTGTAAACTTTAATCAGAGCCTGCAATATCCGGGAGGTTCAAGAATTAGTAACCGTAAGTCAACCCAGAGTGGAAGAGAAGGCTGTAATTCCCCAAACCCGAAACATGGAGCCTAGATTTGCATAATTACCATCTTCTATGACAAAGTGAACTTCCACATCTAATTACACTTCCTGGGGGTCTGACTCTGCTAAGGTAACAGGGGAAAGGGGCCGAGTTCCCCCTCCCTAACAAGAGCTAAACTCAGGTAATTCCACCATGAAAAGCTCTCATTTGTCTCATCTGGCCTGAGGACAATTAGAGGTAATAAGAATTTCCTTTTTTAATGGTTCTGCCCTGAATTGGAGAAACCCGAGTGCCCCTTTCAGACCTCCCCCTCAGCAATGCCCCGAGGTCAAGCACTTAACCAAAGTGAATGACGATTCCATGGAAGGCTCAGGCAGCTCCCAAAGCACCCCCTTGCCTCCTGCAGTGCAGATGGAGCTCCCCATCCCCTGGGAGACTTGGGGGACCAAACCTGGGCAATGAGGCCTGAGACCTTCTCCAGGGATGAAGGGAGGAGGGCTGTTAAGATGCCAGGCTACGCAGTTCACATAAAGACGCAGGCCCACATGAACTTTCAAGCAGGGCCAAGTGGCTGGTCCACTGGGTTTACCAACAGGAGGGCTGAGCCTGGGCACCCTGCACAGGTCTCCTCTTAGCAGGGTACCTTTCTGACCCATGTGACCTTGCTGTGCTTGGCTTGAGCCTGGACAACAGAGCAAACAGTTCTGGGCCCATCTTAGCTCCTTGCCTATCCAGTTGCCTAGTGACCAGGCATCGCTGTCTCCTCCCGACCGAAACAACAACTCAAGAGGCTTTTATCTGAGCGTGAGCTCAGCAACTGCTGCTGCTGGGTGGTAGAATGTGCCTCCCGAAGAATCAACACCCGCACAGCCACCAGTCACCAAAGAAAGAGACGTATTCATGCTGCAGACATGGTAATGAAAGGTGCTGAAATGAATGGGTCTCAATTAAGGCTTCCACTCAAACTTTAAAAATGCATACCCTGAGTGTTTTTGAGCAAGCAGCATGACGCTGTACAGTAATTTTCAACCTGGTGTCTCTAAAGTCTTCAAGGGTCTTGGAAAATAATAATATGGCAAGGGAGGGGGGAATCTCAGCATTATCTTTGACTTTTCAAAAACCCAACCTGAGATCATACTTTGTGTTTCTTTATTCTATCAACCTGGGTAACTCTGGTTATATGGCCATGTCTCTGATTAATAAAAATGGGTAACTAATTAATTAGTCATTAACATAAGTACTTTGGCAGATGCAAATTTTGTGAATGTGGAATCCAGGACAGCAGCTGTTAGGGGTGGAGGGGTAAATAATAAAAGGGGTTTGGACTGTAAAAAGCTCAGTATTCCCTGATGTAGTAAAAAGACTCTGAGCCTGGAAGTCAGAGGACCCTGGTTCTAATCCCAGCTCAGCCACTCCTTAGGTGTACAATAAGGACAAACTCATTTCTCTTTCTGGGCCTTAAATTTCCCAAAGTTTAGAATAAGGGAGGTGGCCTAGATGTCTAAAGTCTTTTCCAGCTATAAAATATCTATGCTTATGTGGTTCTAAATTCTAAAACTCCACTCCTCCCAGAAGCTTTGCCAAGCTAACCGCACTGAGATCCAGGATAATGATAACTTTCCCTAACTGTGCTTGGCATAAACAGGAAACACATGTCTTTTCCCCTCCCTGTCCCAAAGCATGTACTGTCTGTCCTCCCTCTCTAGTGACCGGCTATTTACCCATGCATATGTTCAGAAGCATGCTCATCTTTCAGGCGTGCTTGTCTGTGTTGGTGGGGGTCGTCTCTACAGGGCTGAAGGAAGCTCCAAGCAGCGAGCTCCTTGCTTATCTGCTCTGCTATGTCCTGGATGATTCTGCTTCCACAGTGCCCAGAACAGTGAGACGGTACACTCAGATGAACTAAAGACACTGTGGACAGACCCATGTCAAATGTGCGTACCAACGTCAGGGCAGTGACAGAGTCAAACCAAGTCTGTGTCTCAGCTCCCCGAGTGACTACCCCTGGGGCCTGGGCAAGTTACTGAATTTCTCCAACCCTGAGTTTGCGCATCTGTAAAACAGAGAAAATAAAAATTGATTCCACAGGGCTGTCTGGAAGAAGAAATGCCACAATGCATATAAAGTGCTTTGGTGCAATGCCTGGCATCCAGGCTCCTGCAAAGAAATGTTTGCTCCTTTTTCCCTCCGACAGTTAAAGGATGTGCTCTGATGGTCCTAAACCAAAAACACCAAACCCATTGCTGTCGAGTCGATTCCGACTCATGGTGACCGCATGTGTTATAGAGTAGAACTGCTCCATAGGGTTTTCTTGGTCATAATCTTTACGGAAGCAGATCGCCACACCTTTCTTCCACAGCACCTCTGGGTGGTTCAAATCACCAACCTTTTAGGTTAGCAGTCCATCACAAACCACTTGTGCCGCCCAGGTCCTAGGCTGGGAAAAAATGTCACTGTATTTCATTATGTAAGAGGAAGTCCGTGTTCTTAGGAAATCCATGCTGAAGTAATTAGAGGTGGAGAGTCACAACGTCCCCCATCTACTCTAAAATGGTTCAGGAAAAATGCACATGTGATTAGAGAAAGCGAGATGGATGATGGTAGATGATAGAGAAACACACAGAAAAAGAATTATAAAGTAAATAGGCAAAATGTAAACAAGTAGGAGTCTGGGCAAAGGACATATGGGAGTTCCTTATACCATTCTTGCAACTATTCTGTACGTTTCAACTATATTAAAATTAACAGCTACCAAAAATAAACTTTAAAATACATGTTCTGGGGAAGAAGAGCAGGTGGGCTTTGGAGAGAATTGTAAGATCTCACCAACATGCATTTCTGGAGTGAAGTGTTCATGGAGGCTCTGCCCACATCGCACCTCCTGCTCTGGCCGGTGCGCTCCCAGGAGGCACGCATACGCCAGGTGCACTTGAAACCTTCC